CTCCCCGCCACCGCCCGACCTTGGGCGCGCTCGCCCGGCCACAAAATCCCTTTGACTTTGAGACAGGGGCTCGATCGGGACTCAGGGAGCCTGATAAGAGCCGGGGAGATCACAGGTGGGGAGTCTGGGCAGCCGGCCCTGCCCCCAGCAGGCTGGCTCTCCGGGAAGGTGAGAGGAGATAAGGAGCAGCTGGAAGCGTGGCAGGAGAGGAGGCAGATCGGGAGATAACAGCGCTGAGATGGGCAGATCGCTCCTCTCGCCAAGGACGGCTTTAATGAGGCGGCTGTGGGGCTCCGCAGAGGAAGGTGGGGACGACCCTTCCTCCTTCTCCTCTAAGCCCGGTGGTGCCTCTCTCCGAGCAGCAGCAAGCTCAACAAAAAGCCTACGCCAGGCTCCCAAAAAAACCAGCCTTTTTTCCTAAGGTCGCACCCCGCAGCAGCAGCAGCAGCACCGTGGTGGGGCTCTGCCCAAATAACTCCCCCGGGAGCTGCTGCCCGGGGTGTCCGGGCATCCTGCATCCACACAGGATCCTGCCTGTTCCCGGCCACCTGCAGCTCCCAGACACAGGGATTCCGGCCTCCCTTCCTTTTGAAATATTTTCAATTTATTTTATATTTTAATAATATATAATATATAATACATAAATATATATAAAAATTATATATACTAATATTATATAATGATATTTTATATTATTTGAAATAATTGAAATTAAAAAAAAGACAAGGTCACAAGCGGGAATCTGCCAGGAGAGACTTCCCCGCTGTGCCTCTGCAGATGCCCTGTCCCGGCTGTGAGGGCAGCAGTGGGATCACGCTCCTGCCATGGAATGCCTTCCTTGTAAAACGTCCCTGTGTGACTCCAAAGGGTTTGGGGAAAAAAAAAATAAAAATTAAAAAGCTTAAAATCCATAGGCAAATGACTTGCAGTAAATAGTAACAGAGCAGGAGAGGAGGCTCCTGCCCAAGCTCTGTCCCAGCTGGTCCAGCAGCAGGAATGTGGAAGGGGATCAGGTTCCCAACTCTCCCCTGCCGTGGTTTTCCCTCTGCAGGGAGGAAGGGAGCCCGTGGGCAGTGCCAGCCCCAGCCCAGCACATCCCTCCTGCCAAGGCTCGTGTAGAACCAAAAGAAGGCTCCAGGCACGTGTGGAATTCGATTTCCAAGAGATGCAGAAACTGAGCTGGGCTCAGTCACACAATTACCCGGGTGGAATATAATTGGGGCTGGGAATTCTCAGAGCCTTTCCTCCCAGCATCATCCGCTGGGTGTGATCAGCCATGCAGCGTTTTTCATAAAAACTGACCTAAAATCCAGAAGGTTTAAACAAAAGTGTTAAATATTTCCCTTTCCTTCTCCGTCCAACCCCAAAGTGATGAATTTAGGAATTAGGAAATCATCCGTTTGCTTTAATTCCTACCAAAATAACCTTAAATCGCTCTGTTTTGCTCCGACCTCCTTCAGCGCCCCCCCAGCCCCGCTCCCTGCACAGCGCCCCGGGTGCACCGTTCCCAGCTCTGGCACATCCCTCTGCCTGTACATCCTCCTGCACATCCCTCCGCTTCCAGGTCCCTCTGCCTTGGAATCTGCTCGTGTTGCACATCCCTCGCAAGGTCTCGTCTCTTCCATTTGCTTCTATTGCCCTCTGCTGGGCTCTGGCAAAGGGAGGGATGGCGCCCTGGGGAGCGCCCTCCTCCTCTTTCTCTCCTCTCCTGCCCCTCCTCTCCTTTCCCTCTGCAATTCTAGGGGAAGCTCAGAGCCCCATTTGGGGTGCCAGCATCCCTCGAGCCCGTGCACACATCCTGGAGAGGCATCTCCTTCCCACTGCCACACTCTCAGACACAGCCAGCCCGGCACCTCTGGGTGACAGGACGTGTGTGACAGTGGCCAGACACTGATGGAGTCTCCAGAACCTCTGTGTGTGACAGATAGGAACCAGCTCCATCTCTCCCTGCCCGGATTTGGGCCAGAGGAAAAATGGAAACCTGGGCTGGATGTGTCCCACTGTCAGGGGCCTGGGAGCAATCTGCAGGGGCAGAGCTGAGTTTGAGTGTCCCACCTTGGGCTGTGCAGCAAATTCCAGGCCACATCCCACAGATGTGCTGCTCCATCGCAGTGACATCCGTGCCCCACGCTGGGCCACCACCAGCCAGCTCAGGAAAGGAACAAATTGGCAGCATTCAGAGGAATATTCTTAATTTCCAAGCATATAATTTCTGCAGCCCCTCCCTCAGCTTTTCAGTAGCTTTTGCATTTCATCAGCCTGAATCCAAGGTGAAAAAGGGAAGAAACTGAAGATCATTTGCCTTGGAGAACTGGGGAGGTTTCAGCAGCAGAGGTGCTCTGGGGGCGGACTGAAGCTCCCCTGTCTGCCTCCAGAGCTGGATGGAAGGGATGGGCCAGCAAGAACAGGTCAAGGAGCAGGAGAAAGGACCAGGATGTCCTGGAATCCACTTGGGGATGACCAGCTCTGAGGGGGGATGTTCTTTCCTCCTCCAACACAGTGCCACCTCCCACCACTGCCCCATCCCATCCAGACCTGCTTTCCCCAGCAGCTGGAGAAAAATTTTGGATGAGAGTGACACAGGAAGGAAAAGAGGGGAAAATTACAGCAGGTCCTTGGGCACCAAGGGGATGGAAATGCAGGTGATTTCAAAATTTCCAGGCCAGCCAGCAGCCCTCAGTCACAGGCAGTGCCAGGCAGGCTGAGGAGGCGGGACAGACAGACAGACAGACAGACAGACACCTGCCTGGATATCTCTGCTTCTAGAAGTCCTCAGACACCCACCGGATTACGGATGATGGAGGAGAAGAATGCCTTATACCAATTAATTCCCAAAGTGTAATTAACATCTGGGCCTGTTCCATGTGATCCCCAGCTGCTAATGAAGCATGGCACCACTTTAATTCCTGCTATGCCACACCATCTTCTCATTAAATCCAGGAGCAGGTTCCATCACACTTCCCTTAGAGGGAAAAAAGGGAAAGAGAGAAATGGAGCAGTGTTTGTCTCAATGAAGTATGATAGATTAGAGTTTGCTGGATAAAGAAAGTAGGGATGGGGGGAGGGCATGGAATGGGAAATTTAGGTGTGTGCACGAGGGCATCTGGATATTCTCTCTCCCCATGACTTCCTTACACCCCATCCATCAGCCTGGGGTTGGCTTATTCCAAGCAGCAGAGCCTTTGCTCGTGTCTAACAGGCCCACCGGACACAATCTGCATGCCAATTACTGGAGCAGACCCCCTGATACTGGGAAATGGAAATTAGCTGTCAAGGAAAAACCAGCATCAGCACGGCTGGGCTTGGATTGCTGCGCTCCCCGCTCATCTCCACAGGCGCCCTGCTCCGTGTGCTGCTGTGGCAAGGGAAAAATGAAAAAAGTCATCTGGAATAACAATAAAATAAAAACTGATGATAAAAAAAAACACCCAAGCACCAGTTTATTGTTATTTGTGTCAGTTGCAAATGTTGAGGACACAACGTTCACCCAAGGGCAAGAGCCTGGAGGACAAGGAGAAGGGGGGAAGACCTGGGATAATTGGGTTTTAAAAGTGGGGAAATCAGCAGTGAAAGGGAAGGACATGAGAAAACATTACCTTAAGGGCAAACCAGATCCAGGTCTGGCTCCTCCAGTGCTGCTGGGTGGATGCACACCAGCAGCCACAAAGCTGGAGCATCCCAAACCCACCCAGTGTAGGGCATGTGGGATGGAGAGAGAGGGACATTCCCCAAAATCAGGGTGGGAAAAGGCTGGAAATGCACTGGGTGGAGCTCACCCACTTACAGGAGATTTTCCATCCACAACAGGAACAGCAACAGGCTCATTGTCAAAAAAAATGCAGGAGCCAAGCTGTGCTCAAGCTGCTGCCCTTGGAGAGCTTTATCAGGAGCCAGGCGGGGAAAGGGGAGCTGGAGCTGAGGGCTGGTTGGTCCTGGAGAAATTTTATGGGGAAGAATACAGTGAAACCTAACTGTGGTTCTGGATCATCTGCATCCTGCTGATCTGTGATGGAGAGGAGGGGAGGAGGGATGGAAGTGGGTGAAGATGCATCACCCTTTGCAGGGAAAGGCTGGAATAGGGAGGGGATTAAGGGAGAGGGGTGACAGCAGGGAGAGGAGGAAGAAGGGGAAGGCGACTCTTCAGCTCGTCTTTGTGCTGGGGGAAGTCCAGGGGGCTGGAGCTGCCCCTTTTGGCAGCTCCTTCCCATTCCCCACCGGCAGCAGCTTTCCTGGGAGGTGGCAGCCCCGTGGCTTGATGAGCATCACTCACCCTTGGCTCCCTGCTCCATAATAACCTCATACATCAACGGGAGGAGACTGCAGAACACGGCTGGGAGGGCTCTGCTCCCACCTCCAGCGTCATTGCCCCAAAGCCCCTCGGTTCCGTGTACAAACGGGCTGCAGGCCCCCGGGGCTGCCAGGGCAAGGGTGCCCAGCCATCAGGTATTCCTGCCTAGAGGCTGTGCCTGGCACCTGCCTCTCCTCTGCCAGCACCGGGCAAAATGAGACCTTCCTGGTGGCAAACTGGGCTAACTGGGAGCCCCCTCTGCTCCCTGCACACCTCAGGTGCCCAGGGAGCTCTTCCTTCCCCTCAGGATCACTCAGCAGCCACCTCCCAATGCCAGGGTGGCTCCCAGAGGCACTCACTGCCTCTATCCACATCCAGCCTGCTCTCCTGCTTCCCAGCCCGTTTAAGCAGCAGAATCCCTTGGCTCGCACCGAGAGAGGACATCCTGTACCTGACACACTGGGCTGCCAGAATCGGGATGGCTTTTTCCTAAAGGAGCAGTGGGACGGAGGGCAGGGGGTGTGGAAGGGGGTGGCAATGAGGCGGTCGGGACTGGCGAGGGGGTGTTTCGCTCAGAGAGGGCTCCGCTCCACCCCAGCTCCCCCGAGACAGGACACATCGCACACAAATCCCGGGAATAAGCAAGACCACGCGGAGCTGAGCGACTCAGTTGCTTTATTGGGGGGGTGTGCAGCCCGCTCACGGGGCTGGCTCACTCGGAGATGCTGCGGAAGGACTGGACGGCAGGGCTGGCCGCTCCCCACTCCACAGGCTTGCGGTACTCCCCCTTGGGCAGCACGTACTGCCGGCCCCGGTAGTTGGGATGCTCGTAGAACACCCAGACGCCCTCCAGCACCCTGCAGGCGTGCACCTCACGCATGTGCCACTCCTCCATGATGGAGGGGCAGTCTTCGGTGGCTTCGAACATCTGCCCGCCAAAATCTCCCTTCTCGAACACCTGGATGTGGCCTCGGCCTCCGCTCGGCTAGGAAAAATTAAAAAGGGAGAGAAAATCATAGAGTCATGCAATGGTTTGGGAAGGGATTTAAAGATCACGCAGTTCTACCTCCCTGCCGTGGGTGGGCACACCTCCCACTATCCCAGGTTCCTCCAAGCCCCATCCAAGCTGGCCTTGGACACTTCCAGGGATGGGGCAGCCACAGCTTCTCTGGGTGACTTCATTGGCAAGCGGAGCATCAGATGGGACACTGACATGTCCCAGCTCTGACATGGGGGCATGACTCAAAATCAGGTACCAACCACCCCCAGCACACCAGAACAGGGCTGAAATCTCACATCAGCCTCCAAAAGCACAGGGAGAAGCAGATGGGGTGAATTTTAACAGAGCATCACATGCAGAGCAGCTCCAGGGATAAGGCTGAGTCAACAGTGCTGGTCTCGCTATCCCGGGTGGCCTTGAACCCCTCTCAGTGTTCCACGTGAGCATCAGAGAGCCAGACCCCCTCCAGTCCCCTCTCCTCCAGGCAGAGAGGAGTTTAATGAGCTGCTGACCCCGATGGGGCCATGTTGCTGTGGAGGCAGCACTGGTTCCCACCGGGATTGGAAGTGTTCCTTGCCCGAAGGCACCGCTGCAGCGTCTAATCTTGCAGCAGCCTGGACACCTCTTCCCCCACCTCCTCAGCCCACTCCCTCCTTGCCAGCCCCAGCCGAGCTCTGCGGGGTCTCGAGGTCTCCTCAGGGCAGGAGGGAAAGCCAGGTACCAGGTGGATATGCAGGATAAGGCTCCCACATTTCACCCTGGTGGAGGAAGCTGTGCTGCTCTCGCATCTCGCACGTGTTTTAGCTCCGTGTCATAAACCAGATCAGTGCTCTGAATGGGCTGGAAATTCTCCCCGCCCCATGAAAAGGGATTTAGATCCAGCTCAAAGCCAGAACAGGCTCAGAGGGGCGTTAGACTCCCAGGCAGAAAAGCAAAACCCGTTCTCAGTTGTGAGATCTGCTCCATGCGGTGGGAATTCATGGCTGTGCTCCAAGTCAGCAACCCACAGATCACCTGTGTCTGCCCCACTACTGGCAGAACCTCAGCAGCACCAATCCACACTTCACCCACAATCCCAGTTTTAAAGGATGCTCCTCCACCCCATAGGCTTCCCAAAAGGATCATTCCTTCTTTCCTTTCTCCCCATCATCAGTTAGGAGGGGATGAGCACACCTGCTGTGCTCTCCTAATACCAGGAGGCACCAGGCTGCTCCAAGCATGACCCAGGAGGGCTCCAGGCATCTCTCCCATTTCTGGGCACTCCAGGGCTGCTGCTGGGCTTGGTCTCCCCATGTCCAGAGGGGTTTGGTGACATGGATTCAGTTTCCTGTATCAGAAGAGAGTCTTGGCTTGCTAGAGAAGAAACTGCCCTTCATTCCAAATGTTCCTGCAAAATCTACATTCCATTGTCACAGGCCTTGAACCTGTTGGATCAGTTGGTTACACACCAGGGAAAAGGCAAGAGGCAAACTTTGGAGCAACCTGCCTGGACACTGAAAGCCCTAAAGGAACATGCTGATGAAACTACACTGCTGTTCCTGTGGAAACTCACCCACACTCAAAGGGATCTGCCTTTTCCCACTGCAATCCAGAGTGGGAGAGATTCACCTTCTCCCCCCACCAAACACCTTGCTACTCCCAGAGCGGGCCCGTGGGAGCAAATCCCCTGCAGCCACCTCCTGTGTGCTTCCCCAGGAAGATGGGCACCACGTTTCCTCACGTGAAACCCTTTCCACGACGGGTGGAAATGGCAGTATCCCCTGGGAAGGGGTGACACCTACGATCTGGATGTATTTGCAGGAGCCCAGGCGGTCGTTGAGGCCCATCCAGTGGTGGTAGTCGGGATACTCCCCATGGGTCAGCACATACATGTTCCCAGCATAGTTGGGCCTCTCGTAGGCCACCCAGGTGCCTCCATCCACACGGATGGAGTTGCAGCGGCTCAGGTAGGTGTGGAAATCGGGGCAGTCGCTGTCACACTCGTAGTAACGGCCGAGGAAGTTCTTGTCTTCATAGAAGGTGACCTGGAATGAGCAGAGGGGGGAGAGTGGGGAGGTGCCTCATCCAGCACATCTCCATATTCCAGCCACATCACGGCAGGAAATGTCTGTAAGCAGAGTGCTCGAGATATCAGAAATCATCAAGCCCAGCAATGGAACGGGACCAGCTGCAGTCAGTCAGACTAATTCACCTCTCTGGCCCCAATGCCTCCAGCTGCCACCAGTGTTCTGCCCTTCCCAAACCTTTGTTCTGTCCCAGTCCAACCCAACACTCCCACAGAGAAGTCCCTGTCCTTTTTCCAGCAAAACACTATCAAAACAATTCCCTCCCACCTTCTCTTCAAGAGTTAATAAATTATGGCTGGAGAGCTGTGAGAAGTCAATGGAATGTACAAAGCAGGATCCTGGGGACATGAGTGGGTCCAGCAGCCCTGGGTTAGCAGTTGGACTTGATGCCTCTAGAGAGCTTTTCCAGCCTTAATGATCCCATGATTTCCTTTTTATTGGCTCACCAAGCATTTGCAGGGAGATCTTTACTGATAAGGGAGTGGAGAAGTCTCTCTCCTCCCAGGTCATGTCTTCCAGCCCATCCTTGCTCCCACTTGAACAGTGCAAAACTTCCTTTCTCAAAACCCACTGCCCAAAGCTGGACATCACACAAGCTTTGCCCATGCTAGAAGAAACTAAGGGAGCATTCCATGTGCATGGTGGGTAGCAGTTTTATGGACATCCAAGGATTGTATTTGCAGTTAGCTTGTTCTGCTTTGGTTGCTACAAGTCCACAAAACCTCTGACAAATTCACAGTCCATCCCCACATTTCTTTCCCAAGAGCTGCTCTATAGCCATGCTGCTGACCCCAAAGCACTTTATCCTGGAGCACTCTATCCTTGATCACAACCTGGCTTGAAATGATCTTGGGACCTGATGACCGAATCCCACTCCTCCTACTTGAGGCGTTACCTACCCAGCCAGCCCTGGAGAGGAGATCCAGTTTTCCCCAAAAATCCCTTCATGGAAATATTGCCAATCCTAGACCAGACCAGTCCTTTCTCCAGCTCCATTTTTAGATCCTCCCAAGTGACAATTACTCATCAAATGTTGCTCTTCTTCAAGAGGATTCCCAAACCATCACGCTTATCTTTTGCTTGTTTGTGGCACCAGATGGTCTAGAGAGAATCCTTCTGGCCACACCCAACATGCAATGTTCCACAATCCATTTTTTCCATGTTTTTTTTTCTGTGGTTGGAGTATTAAGATACATCCACACCTGCTGTACTTCATCTACAGTGCTTTGGCTACTGCTATCGATGTAACCTTCTTGCTCTTAAAAAATCATTCATTGTCAGGGTTTCAACCCAAATCCAGGACAACTTGCTCACTTTTTATTTTTAATCATTTGTTTTGTGCTAAAAATTAAATTAGCTGGAGTGCTCCTGGAGCTGGTTGGTCAGCAGGTCCTACCAGCCTGACCAAGGGATCTGGGGAGTCAGACTGATCATGCCAGAGGAGTCATGCTCTTGATTTTGTGACCTGTTACTGGACATTTATTAGGATAATATTATTTTCCTGTTAATTTCAAGGACTGATCTGCCATCACAAAGCAGTTGGTACACACAAAACAACCCGTCCCTTAACATCCTGAGCAAGTTCTTCCCACCTTCAATGGAGAGCTGGGAATCACTCTGACCTTTCCAGCAGTGAATAAAAGCTGTGAAAGGAGAGCACTGAAATGTCCAGCTCCTGTTTTCCCACCCTTGGGCAGTTAATCACGCTGGCCAAGTCTTCCCAGCCACAACCCGCTGCCTTTTCCAGATCCTGCTTGTTGACCACTGTCCCTAAAGGTATCACCCAAAAAAGCTGCTAGCCTCACCCAAAGGCAGCACCAAAAGCTCTGTTCACTGGGTTTGGCAGTCACCCTCTTCTTGAAGCCAGCAATCCAAAGAAGCCACAGCATCCCTGGAAAACCCGCTGCAGGGATTCATTTACTCCTGGTTCAGCATTATCCTCTACTGGGATGGCTGATCCCTCTCTCCAACACACGTCTCCAAGCTCTGATCCTGGCCCACTCCTGTCCATGTGCTGAGTGTCCAACATAGTTGATGACGAGCTCTGCCCAATGTGGCTCTGCTTTCTGGGCAGAGGGAACCTGGACGAGTTCAAGGCCAGGTTGGATGGGTCTTGGAGCAACCTGAGATAGTGGAAGGTGTCCCTGCCCATGGAAGGGGGTGGAACTGGATGGGCTTTAAGGTCCCTTCCAACCCACAACATCCTGGGATTCAGTGATGTTCCTTCCCCACCCAGCCTAGCACAACCAAACTGGAGCCTGGCAAAGCTTCCTGATATTTCCAGGGGGGCATTTTCCCTGTACTTACAAAGCCACAAAGCCAAAGAAATCCAAAGGCACTTTAAGGATATGGCTGTTCCTACAGAACTGTGTCCAACCAAAGTGCCGTTCCTTGGTTTAATCTCAGAATTTAAGGGATCCTGCCCACCCGTTCTCTGGCACGGCCCTTCTGACACACCCTCAGCTCACTTCAGACCTTCGTTTCCCAGCTTTCCTGCATGGATCCAGCCACCAACAGAGCTGGTTGATGTTCTCACCCTAGAATAATTACAGATTCCAGATTTCCAGCTTTGTTTCTGTCCCCTCTCACTCGAAGGGAAACTGCCTTCCTTCAGCCAAACATTCCAGGAGCTCTGCTCCCAGCACTCCCCTGTTAATCTCTCCCTGCCCTAACCTTGCCTTTTCTGGGGTTACCAGACACATACCAGGTTTGCCAGAGCAGATCTTCCTTGCAGGAATGTAAAACTCTCACTTTGGTCACATCACCTGAGTTATTACATATTTCTTTTCAACAGTAGCTTAGCTAGAAGAAAACTCATAAAATATATCCAGTAGTGTTTCCTTTGTCAGCACTGATCCTTTTCCAGAGCAGACCACTCGCTGGGGTTGTGAGAAAAGGTGTTTAATTCCCTACTTTGCCCTTTCCTGGAATGTGCTAAACAAGAGCACAATGTACAGAAATAGGAGATAACTCTTCCTGGCCATCTTGCTGCCCCTATTCCATTAATTCCCCATGGTACACTCCAAGGGGACACGGCTTTCAACAGGGAAAAGGCAAAATGTGCTCAAGGCTTTCCAAGCTGACAGGAGACTCAAGGATGGAGCAGCTGCAATTCCCCAGCACCTTTTTTAGACTCAGGTACAGAAAGTTTGCACCTCAGGATCTGGGAGCCACCAGCACACTCTCCTTGGCTTCCCAGACCGCCAGCCCAACCCCTGAGAGCCACAGAGCTGAAGGACACGGAAAAGCCAAGACATTCCATGGCATTGCCCAGTGCCTCCAAACCCACTGTGCTCCCAAAGCCCCGTGGGTCTCACAGCCCCCACAGGCTAAAAGGAATCCAGCCCAAATCTAAACTCAGATGAAGCTCTTCCTGCAGCCTCCTAACAGTGTTTGACATTCCATAGGGGACACCGGCCCAAGCCCTCACCCTCATTTCCTTTCCCAGCTGTTTCTCCCTGCCCAGTCCCAGACCCAGTACAAGTTCTGTGGGAGCAGCCAGCTCAGCTCTGTTAAACCCAAGCCTGAGGAGCTGGATTCCTCACCCAAGATGTCACTCCAGCTGAAGCTGAGCTTCCCAACCTACCTCTTTCTCCAATTTCAGTTCATCCCTGCTGATTGCACCGAATCCCAAGGCTGGTGTGCAGCCCTTAGGGAACACTATTCCCTTCAGCGCCATGGCCATCATCCAGGAGTCCTTCTGTCACAGCACACCCTCTGCTCCACCATGGAAAAGGGATGTGGCAGCTCTGCTGGTGCTGGAGTCAGGCTCTCCCAAGGCTCCGAGGGAGCTTTCCATGAGACTCTGCTCTGCAAGCGCAGTGATTCCCAGCTGGCACAGCCCCCCTCCACCCCCAATTTACAAGGTATCAGATCCTGCTGATTTAGAACCATTTCAAAATGCCTCCTCGCCAGTCACTGCACTTGACTCCATCCTCTGGCAGAGCCACACCTAGAGGAACCAGCCAAAATCTGGTAAAATACTTGGGAGGGCTCAGCTCCAGCTTCCCTCCACGTCAGGGGGGATTTCAAGCATCTCCCCCTGCCCACACGCTGACAGAGGGGGAAGCTGTCAGCAGAACAAAGAAAACAAAGTTTCTCCACAACTCATCCCCACAAAATTCTGTGCTTTTAGCCAAAATCATGAATACACTGCAAAAAATCTTACCTTGGTTCCAGCTCTGGACATTTTCCGTTCCAGCCAAGCTCCCCTGTGCCGGAGGAACGTCAGCAGCTGTTACAAACAGCCAGGATCCGAGGTGCCCTTTTTATAATGGGCTTGTTTTAAACCAGACAGCCGCTTTGTCATGAGAATAGGATCCAAAAATTGAGTCAGTGATTCTGAGGCTATAGCCGATTTCCAGAAAAGCAAACAGGATTATGGAATAAAGGAAGGCTTCGCCATCCTCCCTTTGTCACCATTTGCTGAGTCAGAACACCAAAACTCTGCCAAATGCACTCAAAACATGCAGCCCTCTGCCAAGTCCAGGAGGACAGGTGGTAATGTGGTTGCTCCCTCCCTTCCAAACTTCTTAAACAAGAAGGAATCCTCGTTATCTCTTAGACACCCACCCCATTTGTAAGGATACTCATCAGGGCGTGTTCCACTCAAGTGAAGGGTGCAATTAAAAAACGATAAACAAGGGCTCAGAGCAGACACCAGGGGCTCGCAAAGACCAGCTCTGCACTGAAAGCTCTCAATGGAAACATCTGTGCAGCAGAGGCTGCAGATTTTCCTGGGACACCCTCAGCTGGAGCCACAATGCTCCAAACACCTCTTGACATAGAAGGAAAGGATGTGTGGCCACCTCCCCACAAACTGAGTTATCTCACACATCAAAACGATGCCCAGATTTCTGTTTGTCTCTGCAAGTGCCACAAATTCAACTCCCAACTCTCAGCCCAGCACCTGAGGTTGAAGCAGAGGAGTTTTCCCTTCGGCCACACTCCAGCCCTCAGACGGGGGAGGCCGAGGATCACTGGTTTCCACAGCCACCCCCCCGCCCCCGCCAGGGCATTATGAAAAACCACCTCTGCAGCTATTCAGTGCCCCAGCCCAAAGGCTTAGGGAGACAAAGGGACATGAATTTGGCACAGCAGTGCCCGAAACACGCAGCACCTCTTTCAAATCTGTCAGGACAAGCACTCTCGCAACAGCAGCTCTGTAAATGCAGGCAGATGGGACAGCCCAGGGCACACATATTCAGCAGCTGCTCCTCTTCCCATTTTAGGAGCCTTGAATCACCCAGAGCTGTTGCTCTCAGCGAGGCCACTTGGATTGATTTAGTTTTTAATTCCTGAAGATCAGCATTCAAGCACGAGCTGGGTTTTACCAGCAAGTTCACAGCTCAAAGCTGTGGGCTCTTCACACATCCCTCCTTTAAAGGTTGGTTAAATACAATAAACTCATCTCACATAAATAAATATGATAAACTCACCTCACCTGCCGGCCCAGGAGCCAAGAGAGACTTTCAGAGGAATTCTGAGGCTGTGCACTCCAGAGTACTGTGACTTCCCCTCCCTCTCAGCTTGGATAGCTCTTCCCAAGGCACCACCAGCTGCTGCCTCCACTCACCCATGCAATGCCTTTGCCTATTTTCCAAGCTTATTTAAGTGCTCAGCTACGAGCACATCTTCCCAAAACACATCCCACCAGCACAGAAGAATGGTGCTTATCCAAGCTGATAATCTTTATGAAAATTATGAGATAGGAACAGGGCTTGTACCAAAACCATGTGCTAGGGCAGACTTCAAAACCTTTCAGCTCCATGGCTGAATTTTACAGGAGTTTTACTTTCAGCCTGGCAGGACTTACATTCTTTTTTTGCCCCACTTTCCTCATAAATTAGCAGTTTCTCTCTCTTTCTCACATTTCATTAAGGTAAAAGATGCTGTGTCCCTCTAAGACCGACTGTACAGGTAAGACCCCTTCCCTAGGACATGTGCCAGGTAACCCAACAACACTGGTTTATTGACATTTGTCAAAACAATGCAACCATATACAAAAATTCACCTTCACAAAAATGCCATCTTCATATAAAAAAAAAACAAACCTGTTGGATTTAGTTCATAAAAAGTTTAAACATTTCTTTTTCACATTTATAAAAACAACACAGCTGGTTTGTACCATGAGGATGCAGGTGATGCCCAGGGCCTGCATCCAGCTTTGTCCCAGGAAACCTGGTGTGCTGGACACCTGCTCACCATGGACACTAACTGCAGGGACAGCCTTGAAACAAGGCACACTTCATCTTCCCCCAGTGCCAGGCACCTCTCAGTCACCCACAGGATGGCTACAGCACATTCCTGAGAAGGCAGCAGTGCTCAGGAACCCTACAGCAGCCAGGCAGTCCAATCCACACCAGGGCTGGGTGTTGGATCCACTGGGTGCAGGTGGAACGGCCACAAAGTCTTAATGAGTAATAGGCTGGGTGGACCACTGACTGTTCCCAGAGCTCTGGAACAAAATAAAAGGAGACAATTTTACTTCTAACACCAGCAAAGAAAAAGGAATTCAAAGGCTAAGTTAAAAATAAAACCATTTTCTAATGAAATGGTTTGAAACATGGTGTGGCAGAAGAACACAATTAGGGCAGGTCTCCAGCTCCTAAACCACTCCTGCTTGGGAAGAGTAAGTGAGAATTATCCAGTTTCAGTGCAAGAATTACCCAAACTCTCATCAAAAGAACGACCCAAAGTATCACTCAACTCTCTTTAGCAAGAAGTGAGATGGGCAGATATCAATACACAGAGTTTCCTTGAAAGAGCAGCTATTCCAATCAGTTTTTTATCACACTATGTGCAATATGCCCATCTGCCTTACAAATGCCTCCAACAAATCAAACTTGACAGCAAGGCAGTGCTGAGGACACAGATTTCAGCTGAAAATGGGGTTTGACAGGAAAAGTAAGAACTAAAGCCAAGTGCCAGACTCTTGAGAGAAGTCACTCAAGGGACCCCTGCTTTTTCTACCTCTGCCTGGGCTGTGCACACAAACATGGGAAGATTGCTGGGAGGAGAGAAGAAGCAAGAGAAGGAAGCCTTTTACCCACCTCCCTTTCCTTCTGCTGCCCAGGAATGTTGTCCTGCCCAGGAATGTTATCCTGCTGCCTGCTTGGAGCTGACTGCAGGAGGGACCAGGCTGTCCAGCTGCTGCCGGTTCCCCGTCTCAACCAGCCACTCATAGAATTTGTTTTCTACCAATGTCTGGAACTGTTTCCTCTGATCCCTGAAACAGAAACATCAGCAGGGAAATTTGGAAAAATCACATTTATTTACAGTATTATACTTCTACCACGTCTTTACTATCCAAACAAGCCTCCAGATGTATCAGGAAGAGCCAGGCTTGGTTCCTGAACCATGCAGAGACAACCAGAAAAGGTTTTTACCTAGTGAATGTGATGATAGTGAACCCCAAAAGCAGAACCTGGTGGAGCTGGAGAAGTCATACAAAATTCCCCATCCCACCATCACAACCACCCTGCTCCAGGGCTGCCTCCACTTTCCCCTCAGGCTGAAAAACTGTCTGAAAGGGGAGAAAATTAAAATTAGCAACCAGTTATTAAGCACTAAGGACACAAAATTCTGTTCTGACAGCACCAGAGAGGATGGAGATCAGGGAAAAAATGCACCTATAAACACACCTCACATCATTCCTGTTGCTCATTATGAACTTTTGGGGTGTTTTTGGTAAGTCCAGCAGTAACAGGGTGGGCCACTCAGCTCAGGCTAACTGGCACTGGTCAGATGCTCAAAAGCATCTCCAGAAGAGCATCCCAGTCCTCTGGGATCAGCTCACATCTGGAATTTCTTAAGCCAAAGGTGGCACAGGTGTGGAGTAGCTCCTGATAGACTTTTTCAAGGAGTTACCACAATTCATTTCTGAACACCAATGAAAAATGAACATTTTTCAGTATTCTGGAGATTTTATGTGGGTTTGTTTTGAACCCATTCCTAATTTGATGTGTTGACCCCGTCCTGTACTGGGAAAAGCAGGAAACTGGCTCCAGAGGAGACCATGAAGGTGATCAGAGAGATGGAGCATCCCTCCTCTAAGGAAATGCTGGGAGATTTGGAATTGTTCGGCCTGGAGAAGAGAAGCTTCGGGGTGAAATCACTGTGGCCTTGCAGTGCCTGAAGGAGCTACAACATGGAGAGAAACCCTTTCCAAGAGCCTGAAGTGACAGCACAAGAGGGAATGGCTTTCTACTGACAGAGGGCAGGGTGAGATATGATACTGGAAAGGAATTCTTCCCTGTGAGGGAGGTGAGGCCCTGGCACAGGGAGCCCAGAGAAGCTGTGGCTGCCCCTGGATCCCTGGAAGTGCCCAAGACCAGGTTGGATGGGGCTTGGAGCAACCAGGGGTAGTGGAAGGTGTCCCTGCCCATGGCAGGCGGTAGAATCTGGTTGGATTTTTAAGGTCTCTTCCAATTCAGGCCATTCTACTCAGCCTCAGACAAGCTCCGTATATCCACATCCTTTTTTCAAGTTAAGGCTGCTGTCTGTATGTTCTCTTCCATTTGAGCCATTCCCCAAAAAGCAGGGTTCTGGGACACAAACTAACCCAAATTCCTCCCCAGTGAACACAAAGACAGACACTTCTTTTTTCCCTTGTGGATTTATCTTCTTCAAGAGCTTTTTCTCTACCTTGATCTGCTACTGACCCTGAAAGACTTTGTGTCTGATACGCTAGAAAAATGAATAAACAGGATTTTATGCTTTTGCAAGTTGTTCCTCAAGCTGTCTTCTTGGTCCTGTCTTACGGGGGTTTTACTTTCAGCCTGGCAGGATTTACATTCTTTTTTTGCCCCACTTTCCTCAATCAGACAACTTCAACTTCTTGAAAGATGTCTTCTTATTTCTAACACTCTCTTTCACCTCCCTGCTTGAGCACAGCAGCTTTTTTCTTTCTACAAGCCTGATATCCTGTTTGCTGTAAGCTTCCTACTTGTCTCCCTTCCTGCCTCCCTGCCTGCAGGAGACAACAGACATTTTACACTGTCAGCTGCCCAGTTTCTTTTCAACAAGCTTCTAAACTTGCCAATTCCCCCCCCTTTTTATGGAATAAGCAGCGAGCTCTTGCCTCCTGCGACTGCAGCAGACGATGGCAAATCTAAGCACATCATCCCTATTTTCTCCACTTCTTTCACAGGAAGGTCCTGACAGGTCAAACCCCTTCCCAAAACTGTGGTGGGAAGCAGCAGCCCTGGGAGAACAACATATGTTTGAAATGGGG